TAAGTCCATTGTGGGTTTTTTTCTTCCAAACAACAGCGTCAAAATGGAAGAAATAGACCCTTTTAATATCGAAATGGAAGGTCTCTATACAGATGATTTAAACAGCAGCAGTATCTTCGAAACGGACGGTGGATTTCTCATCCCGATGGGCGACTACAGCGGTATAGATATGTCATACAAATACGACCTTGGCATGGGTCGTGTGACGAAACTCCTCGTATTCTGCAATATGGTTCTACCTCTGTTCGGAATTCTGGCAAATGTCTTCAACTTGGAGACATTTCGCCGCCTGGGTATATTACAGGACCCGACGTCCAGTACGTTGTTCGCTTTCACTCTCTCCGACCTCCTCACACTCCCCTTTGTGTCGGCCTTCTCTTTTATCAGCAGCGATACCTCCAAGGGCGCCTTTGTCTTGGACGTATCTCAACAATCGGGAAATTGCCTGCAATGGGCTCACAAAATGTCCACGTTCTTCACCGTGTACCTCGTCGTCATGAAATGCTGCTGCGTGACCCAGCCGCGGAGACTCAAGTCCGTCTTCACCAGCAGGAAAATGGCAGCAGCTCTGGTCACCCTGGCAGTGGTCAGCCTCGCCATGCAACTGCCGCTGTTCCTGAGCGTGGACTTCCGAGAGGTTCCCGTTACCCCCTCCTACGACAACGAGTTCCGCGACACAGAGGTCGTAAACATGGCCGCACCGCTTCCTGGAAAGTTGGAACATGTGGTGAGGTACCTGAACGAGCGCGTAGAACCCGCCTTTTCCTGCTTCATCATCACCTCGTGCATGCTCGTCCTAGCTGTCAAACTGAGGCAGGTAGCGACGTCCAGCTCCGCTTCAGCCGAAAAAACCGTCAACAACTTGAGATCATGTAACGGTGGACAGTCCGGCCAAGAGGCCAGAAAGATTCGCCCAGTCCTGTCTGTGGCTGCGCTCTTTGTTCTGTTCACGCTGCCCATGTTGCTGGCCAGTTTCGTCCTGATCGACGAGGAAGACACGGACAATCCACAATCCAATCCCGATTTCCAGCAACTCATGTCCCATTTGAAGATAACCATGATCACTTTTAATTCATCCGTCAAGGTGGTCGCTTACTTCGTGTGCAGCTCCAGATACAGGCAAAGCGCCAAAGCTCTGTGTCTATATTTGTTTTGTTAACTCTTTCACTCCTCACAAGCAGTTCATGGGGATCATACAAACAAATTCTGAGAGCTCTATACCTGGGTTATGTCCGATCTTCCCTGGAATACAACAATAGCCTACTCACTATGTGCAGTACAACTACTTGCAACACTCCTGACAAGGTTCAAAACAATGCCCTTCGTTTTATAAATGGCGGCATGAGATCCACACCTATCGCCGCGTGCGAAATCCTTGCAAATGTTGAACCCCTGGGATTCCGCAGAGATAAAGCAGTTTTGGAGCTACATGAAAAAACTAAAAGAATGTGCCCCAACCACCCAAACAGGAAATTAGTAGAAACATGGAAACCAAAGAAACGAATTCAACAAAAGTCAATCATGCATCACATCACAGAACTAATGGAGAGCCACCATCTACCACAAAACTGAAAAGAAACCAAAAGAGTCAACCAAAACATCCCTCCCCACCTTTCTTTAAAAAAGCCAATCATTACAACATCTCTCAAAGACAAGAGCACAAAATCTTCAGACCCAGTGACGCTGATGCTTGCATCACATCAAACAATCGACAGCTATTCAGATGACTGGATACACGTCTATACGGACGGCTCAGCATTCAAAAGGCACAACCAAAGCCGGATATGGAATACTAATACAGTACCCAGATGGAAGTTCCAATGAGATCTCTGCAGCCTGTGGAGAGAAATGCAGCAAATACGATGCAGAAATGATGGCAATTGAAACAGCATTGTACCATCTCCGCACAGTTTTTGACACTCATCCTGGAAAAGCACAGAGTATTGTGATTTTCACTGACTCATTATCAGTATTACAAGCCATAGAAAATGACAATCATCTAAACCAAGATTTGACCCATATACTGTTTGGATCCCATCATCTGATAACATTCTGTGGCATCAACCTAGTAATGCAGTGGGTCCCCGGACACTCAGACATACCTGGAAATGACAGAGCAGACACACTCGCCAAACGGGGATCTAGACAGGAACAACCCAACACTCCAACTTCATACAACACTGCAAAACAAATCATCAAAAGCAACAACAAACAAGATTGGATGAACAGATGGGCCCTGGGAAAGACAGGCAGAGCAGTTTTCAAACATATGACCACAACAAAAAGGAATGACAATATCAACCGCCTTCAGAGAAAGAAACAGACCACGATCTTCCGCCTACGAACAGAACATAATATACAGCTCAACTTCCACCTGAACAGAATAAACCCGGAACTTCCCCCAATGTGTCCCTTGTGTGACTATGCATATGAGACTGTGAAGCATCACCTGTTCCACTGCACAGCCCTAAATGACATCAGAGCTACCCTTCTCTCTCCGAGACCTAACATAGACAACACACTCTATGGAACATTACAGCAACTGCAGCAGACCTGCACTTATCACTACATGGCATTGGACAGAAGGGCGAGAGCTCAGCTGTTGCTGGATCGATAACAACAACAATAACAACAACAACTCTGTCACTCCCAGGCGGATACGTATCGTCCTCCAGAAGTTCACATTATATCGCTACCCCAGAATTACAAACTTATATCTGCTCAGTGTCTAGATTGGAGAAATTTGATGTAAAAAACTATACGTTCCAAAATATGGTTGCGGTATTGTGAAACTCAAAATATTTACAAAAAGTTTTAGTAAGTGTTTTATGGCACTTGCAACACATTAAGGTCATATAAGTGCCGAAGATTAGAGGTGTAACACGAGAGTAACAAACACAAAATAAGAAGGAGCAGAGATAAGGACGGTTGATGTTGGATAGGAAAGAAGAAGCAAACCACACCAGAGCACCTACCAACCACCGGCTCAAAATATTTAACGTCATATTTCTCAAAGTTCGGTAGCCTAGGCTACTTAGCAGATAGAATTTTGTAATTCTGAGGTAGCGGTGAGTCTATAGTGCGGTCAAATATTGGCGGCGCAAACTATTGTCAAGTATCTCCTTAAGTATTGAACATAGATTCTTCAACTTTTGCACAATGACCTAGTGGGTGATTGGCGGGTGCTCTGGTGTGGTTTGCTTCTTCTTTCCTATGAAACATCTATCGTCCTTATCTCCACTTCATCTTTTTTTATGTTTGTTACTCTCTTGTAACAGCTCTATTCTTCTGGCGCTCATATGACCTTCTGCAGTTGCGAGCGCCGTAAAACCTCTACTAAAACTAAACTAAGAAGCACAATGACCTACATCAATTTTTTAAAAAACTGATGAATATTTTTTTCAGACACATGTACACTTTATTTTAGAAAATTCCTTAATAAATGCTAATAAAAAAATCCCAGTCGATGATTTCTAGAGATTTTTAAAAAGTTTACAGCCTGGCAATATCGCTTTTAAAAGCAAGTCATTTTTTTCTAATCGCGACATTACGCTTATTGAACCCATGTTTAAAGACCCTTTCTAAGTAGTGCAAAAACTGTGTTCACTATAAAACTAGATCTAGATCTAGATTTCTCGATCTAATAATAATTAATTTCTTTAACAAGTTTTGCCAATAAAAAGTGTCATTGAAGAGCTGTGACGTAGACCATGTGCATAAGGCAAAATGTGTGTCAGAAGAGGGAAGTTCTGTGAACAGTTTTATTTTCAGCGTGACGGAAATTTATAGTATTTTATATAAGTTTATGAAGGAAAGTTTTTGTTATTTAGCCTCAATTGGTGTATAAAAATAATAACAATACGATTAAGTTAAGACAAATTGATACAAACTGCTGTGCAAAGTATGGGTGACAGTGATTCATCCGTTAAAGAGATATTTGAGGATAATTTGCGGCACGAATTTTTGACCGCACTATAGTGGCGGATGAATATGTGAAAAGGTGCGTTTTTATGCATGAAGATATCTGTTAGATACTTAAGCATTATGCTGAACTTCGATTTGGATGGCAATTTGTTCGAATCTACAATGGGATATATCTGAACTCACATTTTTGTTTCAAAGTTGTTGACTCCTGATAAGATAAGATAAGATAAGATAAGATAAGATAGGATAAGATAAGATAAGATAAGATAAGATAAGATAAGATAAGATAAATCTTTATTGTTCAGAAGCAGGTACGTTGGTTTGGTGTTTCACCCCCCCCCCCCCTTTCCC